GAGTCTAATGGTGATTACGAAAGTGTTTGGAGTGATCACTAAAGATGGCGACGTTATGCCTCCATTCATCTTCCCATAGGGCCTCACAATCAACACAGAGACCTACATCAAGTGCCTTGAGGAGTTAGTACTGCCCTGTATCAAGAGGGTGGCTGCCGGAAGACCCTATGTCTGGCAACGGGACTCTGCACCATGCCACACAAACAGGAGAACTCAGTCATGGCTGTCAGACAATTTCTGTCAGCCAATGAATTGTGAATTTTTCCTTTTACGGAAGTGGCAAATATCAGCATTATCATTCTAAGAAAAAAATTGGGATTCATTAACCAAACAGACAGTGCTGCTGGTAGAAGTAATTTATAAAATCTTTCTCTTAGAACAATTTTTCAGGAAAATTGGTTTCTCATGCAGTCGCTATTATCACTCTTTCCAGTATTGATGGGGGTTTTCCTTCCTAATCTTTTGTTTGAAGTCGTGTTGGAATGTCTACATCTTGATTATGTCATTGTCTTCGAGTTACCCCACGCGCACATTCATGAAATTTTGCTTTTGTTTCCGTCTTTCATTTTGTCAGCTGTAGATTTTTCTTCCAGTTATAATTTTCTTCTGCAAAATTAAATTAATTTTTTAATGGTTTATATAGAAATTCTTATGTTATGTTATATTATTAATTAAATTGTAATATTTGTTAATTTTTATTATTAATTATAATATTTTAGTTAATATTTTCAATTAACATTTTAATCGATTTATAATGTTATATTATTATTAAAATAACAAAGTTTATTGATAATATTATCAATATTAACTTTTAATAATCAAATTGAATTATTACGTTTAATTTACGACTACGCGCGTGTACAAAACGAAGTAAAAAGGCGGACTGAAAATGACGCGGAACAAAGTGAAAAAAATACCGTTTAAAACCACAACCCCTGAAGACTGGAAATTTTGCCAAGAAACATCGATGCCGGGATAGAATACATATGTGAAAGTTAAGTAATGTTTATATATATATATATATATATATATATATATATATATATATATATTCAGACATTTTACATGATTCATGTAAAATGTCTGAATTCTTCATAAACATTAATATTAAAGATAATGGCGATTTTCTAAGCGTAGCTTAGACGTGGCACAAGGCCGGAAGTATGGAGCACACAGGATCGAATGTATTATTCAGTTATAACTGATCTAGTGAGACCAGGCTGCTAACCATTACACTACATCGAAGTGCCCAAGGTTTTTCTAAATGGAATATAAATGCGGCACAAGACCGAAAGTATGGTGCACCCAGTAAGGATCAAATGCACTATTCAGTCATAACTGACGTAATGAAACAAGCTTGTTAACCATTACCCCAATCGAGGTTCCCATCAAAGATAATACTATGAGTTCAAAAGTAATCTCAAGCATATGTATGAAGGCAGAGAAATAAAAATGAATTTTCCTTAACTTTATTTTGTCGTGGTTTAGAGTGAAGCCCTTCCGTTTACGTTAAAAATGAATCCATTGCTAAACAGCGGGCCAGCATCAAACTTGATAACACAGAAAGATCCGTGTACGCAAACTGATTGTTATCTGACTAGAACTAAATCCATTGTTGAACTACATTCGCCCTCAATCCTACTGTCACCAATGATCTTATTCTAATTTTCTTATCACTCAGACTAAATCTCAAATCGACCCACTTCCCAGTGTCAAGTACTTCATCATCATCATCATCATCATCACCAGCCCCATGACCGGGTGTGGTCGTCGGTTCGACGCACAGTTGAACACCTACTTCACTCCACGTTGTTGAAAGCCCCTGAGGTATTCTTGGATAGGTAATCCTTGCGAAACCCATCCCTCTACAGTTCAACCACAGCCGATGTCACCCAAATTGAGTAGGCTCATCTTCGTCTCGGACATATGGCCGGAGATTCTATCTGGAAACTCTACGCTGTGGCTGTTGTTCTCAGTCCGGCCACTCCTCGGCACCGCAATGTCGGGTCATCACCACACTGGCTTCAACCAGTTGTGAATCATTATGCTAGATGGTTGCTAATCCTAAAGAAAGGTGAATCCACCCTTTAACAGGTTTTCTGTTTAATTTTGTTGAGTGTCTGGTTATTCTCACCACTAGAAAAGCCAGAGTAATCGGTTTACTCATTGATAACCTATCCATGCGACACGTGCTACTGGTTTATATGGTATAAGTAAAACGTGTACAGTGACAAGATATAAAGTATTTATTGCAAGTATTTCAACAGTAGTCATTTTACCAATTTACAAAAGGTAAACAAGTATGAAACTTCCAATGACGATAGAAATCACTTCTAAGTAATAATCCTCAACCAGATAAGCTCACTAAATGCTGAAGAGCTTTTCCATCTATTGTACTCATTTTGATTATTATAGAGATTACTAGAGATTACTATAGGCACAACGTTTCTGCCAAGTACTTTTTGGCCATCTTCAGGTATTCATCTATTGTTCTCATTTTGACTATTATAGGTGTTATTATAGGCACAGTGTTTCTGCCAAGTACTCTTTGGCCATCTTCAGGTATCCATCTATTGTTCTCATTTTGATTATTATAGATGTTATTATAGATACAACGTTTCTGCCAAGTACTCTTTGGTCATCTTCAGGTATTCATCTATTATTCTCATTTTGACTATTATAGATGTTATTATAGGTACAGTGTTTCTGCGAAGTACTCTTTGGCCCTCTTCAGATATTCATCTATTGTTCTTATGTCGATTATTATAAATGTTATTATAGGTACAATGTTTCGGTCAAGTATTCTCTGGCCATTATCATTATTATGTCTATAATAATAACTATAACAATCAAGATAATAGTATTTTGGAACAAATTAACACAATTGCCATAAAACAAAAGTAATCTAAAAAATGAAATATCAAATTTGAAGACATTTGTAGAAGAGAATCCAGTGCCGAGTTCCGCCTCGGCAGTTATATATCGTAGCTTAGGAAATAGCAAGCAGTTTGATCTTTCAAATTTTCTTTGAACTACTCAACACCTTCATCGCGTTAATGTTGTGACCACAACGTTTCGACTGATCTATTTTTTGCATCTTCGTCAGTTTTATAACCACTACATAAGAAAGAAGGAAAATAATTATTTCTTCTGATAATGTTAACACGCAAATTGTTTTCTAAGCAATTTTTGATATATTACCAGCAATAAATTTTTAAGGAAAAATTATCATCATCAATACTTTAAAAAAAAAGTATTAGCAATACAAACAGCTATACATTCTTTGAAAAAATATTACCAGCTATGGATTTCTTCAAGGAAATATATTCCCAGAAATATATTTTGAAGAAAAACATATTACCAGCAATAACAATTTTGTCGGAATTAAATAACCCATTGAGGTGTTGATATGCCGTAAAACAAACTAAACCAAACCAATTTTTTATATTTTATGCCAACAGCAAGTAATCCAACATTTTATATTTGTTAATTCAAATGCTTATAAAATCCTTACTCCCTAAATATTAATAATTTCAATCGCAAGTCTATTCGATTCTGGTATAGTGCATAAGAATAGAACTGTCTGTATTTACAGCCAAGGCAATTAACATTAATCAATATCGATCTTGACAAACATCAATTCACTGATCGATTTTTTTCCGTCTGACTTTTAGTTGATCCTCATCTGCCTTTTGGAAACAAAAAAATGGATTAAGTTAAAGAATGAAATCAAATTTAAAAGGGAATATAACTCCAAATATCCTGGAGTCAGTGACTTGCTTACAAGAATAAGGAATTCCTTTCGGTAAATTACACGGAAATGAAATAGATTGAAAAGATAAAAAAATAGAAACCTTGTCAGAAAGAAATACCAATTTTTATACATTTATCTGTTACTCAACCTGTTCTCAAGTTAAACTACATCCGCGTCCTGGGTATGACGATAAACTACGTCCAACGGCAAGGCCTCTGATCAGGAGGTTTTGAGGAGCATGGAACCACCTCTTAATTGCTGGTGTTCCCAGGTCCACCCTTACCCGGGGTGGTAGCACCTGTTAGGGTCCCAGCTATGGGAAAATAGTTAACCCCGAAACTGAGATAAAAAGCATTTTGAACGTGTAAAAATAGGGTTTAATACCAGAAATACTTTGTAAAAAATTATTACCAGAAATAAATTTTTGAAGAAATAAAACTATTGCCAGAAATACGTTTTTGAAAAAAAAAAACAATTGCCAGCAATACGTTGTTGAGAAAAAACTATTGCCGGCAATAACTTCTTGAAAAAAACTATTGCCAGCGATACATTCTTGAAAAAAACTATTGCCAGCGATACGTCCTTGAAAAAAAAAAAACTATTGCCAGCAATACGTCCTTGAAAAAAAAAACTATTGCCAGCAATACGTCCTTGAAAAAAAAAAAACTATTGCCAGCAATACATTCTTGAAAAAAGTATTGCCGGCAATACGTTTAAAAAAATACTATTACCAGCAATACGTTTTTGAAATAAAGACTATTGCCAACAATACGTTTTTGAAAAAAAAAAAAAAGAAACTATTACCAGCGTTTTTGAAAATAATATTACCAGCTATACAATTTCTCCAGACTTTTGACAAAACAAGAATATTACCAGGAAAAAAAATGTGCCGGCATTAAATGACCCACTGAGGTTGATATGCCGTAAAACAAAACAAACCATACCAAACCAATCAACCTGTTCTCAATTCTTACAAATGAGATATTCCAACCACCTGAAGGAGGCCGGAGCGTACAACGGCTGAAACGTGGTAATAAATATGGCGACAAAGGTGAGAACAATAATCCGAACAATGTAAATAGTGTACATAACACCTCATCTCAGAAATATAGATTATTTTCTCCTATTCGAAAAAAGAATCATGCGTCCACATTAACAATAATATTTCCATTACAACCTATCGCAAACCCACTCGCATATATATATATATATATATATATATATAATATTCAGCAACCACGCCTACAAGTAAATAGATGTGTATAGAAAAATTTGATAGATAGATAGATAGATAGATAGATAATGCCCGTTTGTTAAGGTGATTATCCAATGCCTGTTGCAGACGCCTGCTCAGGTACATTTGTGTTTGTTCTAAAATTTATACTGTAACTCTGCTGAGCAGACCTTAGTTACAGTTTTGGGGAGAGATCACGTCTTCTGGCATTTGAACCTGGCCTGTACACACAAACTCTAGCACAGTCATCGAATAACATTTCCGTATATTTAATATTAATCACAAGGCTTGGGCCAACACGCGTAAGGGCGTTTACGAGCCTTTTCCAGTGAAGTGGTACACTGAGATTGCTTCCCCGGCCCCTTAAAATCAAACAAATCCTGACAAATTGGCCGTGATGAGATTCGTACTCGGTTCTCAAGGTCAGAAACCGAACGCCGAATGTATGCATGCATAAATACATACCTATCTACAGAATAGATAGATAGATAGATAGATAGATAGATAGATAGATTGAGAGAGAGAAAGAGAGGGATCTTTATTTCACTTAGATTTTCAACACATTTTTACTATGATTTCTAGAATAACAATCACATATTCCGCCCACAAAGTGGAAATAGCACCTTAACGAGCAGACCTTTGTTCTTTACCTATCCCTGATTGTAAGCCGAGTTTCAGTCCTAATTAGAGCCTCATTTGGTAATTTAATATGAAAGGTTTCATTACATTATTTTTGTTAAGAAATTAACAGAGAGTTCGGAAATTATGACAAAATAAGGAACAGAGCCCCAAGGTGGAGTTTGACATCTGACAACAGAAAACGTAAACATGTTCAAGGTGAAAGAAATCTCAAGACGTGTTCAATTCTTGCTTCTTTGATATTCTTTAGCATACTTTCTCCTTTTATACACCTCCTTATCTCTCTCCTTTTCTCTCAATCCTTTTCTCTCTCACTTTATGTATCCCTTTCTCTCTTACTCTTTTGTTTCGCTCTGTTTTCTTTGTCCTTTTCTCTTTCACAGTTTCCCTACACTTACTCTTATACAATATCTCTCTCCCTTTTTTCTTTCTTACTCCTTCTCTTTTTCTCCTCCTCCTTTCCTACATTCAGTATTAAAACTTCTCACTCCCCCTTTTATCTTATTTTCTCTCTTGCTCTTTCCATACACTCACTCATACTATTTTTCCTCACGTTTTTTTCACATTCTTTCTCTCTCACTCCTCCCCTTTACTCACTCTTAGGCTGACTCTATGCTTGACTCTCTTTCTCTGCATTTAATTTCCCGATATCTCTACCCACCTTCCTTTCTCTTTGACACCTTCGCTAAAATTTTATGCTGTCTCTCTCCCTTTACTCTCACTTTCTCACCCACTTCTACTCTCTACTTACTCATACATTGTCTTCCTTTCTATCCAACTTTCTCTATTACCTACACATACACTTACACTATTTCATGGTCTTTATTTCTCCTTCATTCTTTGGCTGTACTATTTCTTACGCTATCATTCTCTCTCTTTCCCTTTCTCTCGTACAGTTTTATATATATTTCCCTCTTTCTCTCTATTTTTCTTATTTCTCCCTTACACTCACTCTTTCGCTAACTCTCCCCCTTCTCTCTATTCCTCTCTAACTCTCTCTCTCTATACTCACTCTTACGCTACCCTTCCCCTTTTCTCAACATTGATTTTTCTCTTATTATTCGTCTACCAGTCTCTAGCTCTCTCGCCATCTCTCTCTTTCTTTTTCATTTTCTCTCTCCCTCGCACTCTCCCACTTCACTTACTCTTACGCTCTCTCGCTCTCTCTCTCTCTCTCTCTCTCTCTGTCCATCCCCCTCTCTTTCTCTCTTTTGCCTTCTCTCCCCCTTCTTCCATTTACTTCCTGTTTTTTCACTTTATCTCATTGTCTCTCTCACTTTTAGGCTATCTCTAAATCACGTGATGTGTGGTGTAATGGATAGAGGTTCGGAATTCAAGTCGTGTTCATTGCAATCACTTACGGCCAAATGCCCTTGGGAAAGAAGTTATGATTCCATCTCTACTCCCTCCATGTTAAATAGCAGGACAGACTGGCTACTATAACCTTGTTTGGCAACCAGTCTAACGCAGAAAGAAACCGACTGCGGGAAAAATCTTCTGCTTAGCCAGTCATGAATCGAAAGAAACATGATCACCCAAGCGATCTTGGCACTTAAAATGTAAATGGGTGGACATTTTCGGGGATTCCAGTCTATTAGGGCGGCTGGCTAGTCCCCATTACAGACGCCTGCTCAGGCACATTTATGTTTGTTCCCCTATCGACAGAGCCTACCTGCGTTACAGTTTCTAGAAGAGAGCGCGTTATCTAGCGTGTCTGTCTGAACAAGGCACGATGACTTGTGACTTCACTTATGTTAGCATTGCTATCGACGGCCTCCAAGGGTAACGTCTCCCCAATTTCATTCACAAGGCTTGGGTCAAGTATGGTTTTCTGAAAGTTTTCAAAGGTGTTGCATGCTGGGGTCGCTTCCTCCAGACCGATAACATCAAGAAATAACCTTCCTGACAAATCGACCCTAATGAGATTCGAACCTGGGTTTCATGTCAGAAAGCAAACGTTGTAACCATTATGGTACTTAACTGACTGACTATCCCCCCATTACTTGCTCTTCCTCTTTCATTCTTTCAATACATTCTCTCTCTCTCTCTCTCTCTCTCTCTCTCTCTCTCTCTCTTTTTTGTGTGTTAAAATTGTTTCAGCAGAACCCAATTTTTTGCATAGACATATTCACACATATTGGGGATATATTGCGTTAAAATACGCTTCATTTTCTTTCCTCAGACCCCCTCGAAAAGGACTCATGAGGGTTGAAAGCATGGGTCTACACAGCATCAATTTTAGCCAATTTATCAACACAGCAGCTTTTGCAAATCGATATTTGTATATTATAAAAATGATTACATATAATATATAGAAAATATAAAATACAAAATATTAACATGCAATATGATTTTCCCTACGTCAAATGCTGATGCCAAAATATTCTATCAAGTTGTACATTAAAGAGTTGAATCTTGGTGCCGTTGCTTTGGACATCTCGAAGACATTCGGCAGAGTTTGGCATACCCGTCTTCTTCGCAAGAATTGGGATAAGATAGTTTGGTTTGGTTTGGTTTGTTTTACGGCATATCAATCTCAATGGGTCATTTAATGCCGACAACTATTTTTTTTCCTGGTAATATTTTTGTGTTGTCAAAAATCTATTTATGGAAATATTTTTTCCTAAAAATTGTATAGTTGGTAATACTATTTTCAAAAACGTATTGCTGGTAATAGTTTTTTTTTTTAATTTATTTCTGGTAATATTTTTTGACAAAGTATTTCTGGTATTAAAACATTATTTTTACACTTTTATAATGCTTTTTACCTCAGTTAAATTATTTGCCAATAGGTGCGACCCTAACAGGTGCTACCACCCCGGGTCAGAGTGGACCTGAGAACACTAGCAATTAAGAGGTGGTTCTATGCTTCTCAAAGTCTCCTGATCAGAGGCCTTGCTGTTGAACGTAGTCCATCGTCTTACCTTGGACGCACATGTAGTTTATAGTCATACCCAGGACGCGGATGTAGTTTATCGCCTTACCCTGGAGGCGGATGTAGTTTATCGTCTTACCCTGGAAGCGGATGAAGTTTATTGTCATACCCAGGATGCGGATGTAGTTTATCGTCTTACCCAGGACGCGGATGTAGTTTATCGTCATACCCAGGACGGTGTAATAAGATAGAATGAATCATTTGCTCATAAATACCATAGACTTTCAGTCTATGGTATTTCTGGGCAAATGGTTCATTCATTCTTATCAGTTCGGGAAATGAAAAGCATCCTGAACGGCCAGTCTTCTCGATCATTCGGTAGTAATGCAGGTTCTCCCCCAAGGTCCCATCTTTGGAACTATGTTGTTTCTATTTTTTATAAATGACCTACTTGATGTCACCAGTTTCTAAATAGGTATCTATGCTGATGACGCAATTATTTACTCTAATAGTAATTTTTATCGGTTTGATACGTCCAATTTGCCAGCTGAACTAAAAATAACTTGCAGCTTTTATTAACTGAGGCGAGGAATGGCTTGTTAATTTTAGCGCCTCCAAAACGAAACTGCTCTCTGTCAATCATCCGATAGACTTCTTTTTGTCTTTCATCAGTATGGCTGATGCTAACCTCCAGGAAAGTGACTCGTTGCGCCTTTTCGGGCTAACGTTCTCGACGAACATAAAATGAAAGACTATATTAAATCCATTGCTAGGTCAGCTCCTAAGAAATTTGGTTCACTGTGTTGTGCCAGACAATCATAATCGCCAGATTCTAGCTTACACATTTACAAGCTGAACATGCGTCCTTGCTTTAATACAGCCTCTACATCTGGTCTGGTATATATTTAGAGATTCTTGATAAAATCCAAAGAAGAATCTGCAATATTATTGATTCTGATCTGGCATCTGGGCGTCATTCACATTGCCACCACCTTAATGTAGCTTTCGTGTGCCTTTTCTATTAATATCTTCATGGGAACTTTATGAATTTAAGCGCGGAACGAGATTGGAGGCAACGTTTCATCGATTTACAATTCGATCTGGCTAGATACAACCGTAAATTCTATAGTAGCAGTTTCTTCTCTCGCACCTCTCGTTTGTGGAACTCTTTTCTGTCCATGTCTAGACGAGATAACTCGTCTAGTTAGACGCCTGTTTAGTACTGTTCAGTCATTGCGCGTTCCGTTAGCGCTGAGTCCAAGTACGCACTACAAGGGTTCTGTCCGAAATCCCCTTTAGGTTACACGGATCGAGGCGGGGGAGTTGCAGAAATAACAACAAAAAAGAAAAGAACAATCGTCCGCCTGCAAAAAAATGTAAATAACTCCTCATCCCTGAAATTCAAACAGATATTAAGGACACTTACTGAAATGCATCTTTCATTTTCACATTGAGCTTAGCATCAACACCTATCTTTGTGTCCATTACGGCGTTTCATTCCATGCACACTCAGGCTTTCCTAAATTGTCTTTAAGAAGCTTCCAATGGATTCCTTTACTTTGCTTAAAAATAAAAATACGAGATTTAACCATTATTTTCATTTCATAGAAAGAAAGAAAGAACGCAAATCAATGATGCATGAGATTACGTGGAGACCCATTGCTATTCTTGGTCTTATATGGTCTATTGGTCGTTTTTATTCTTTTTGTTCTCACAAGTGTTCCAGCCGATCCATTATTGGGGCTTCCGCTGGTTTAAAATTTGTATAGAAATATGGTTAAACTCTATATTTCAGGTAAGCCACCAGTAACAAAAACGACAATAAAATGGGAATAATTGCCTGAACTGTTCACATAAGGATAGTTACAAAGTATGAAATATTAGTATGTCTTTACTGTTGCAAATAAAAAAATAAAACAAAGCAAAAAAGTGCATAAAAAGCAGTAGGTAAAAATGTATTACTTTCAATCCGAAATTGTGAGAAAGAACACTTTTTCGAATGATGATTTTCAAGGCAGGTCATCTCTCCTATTTTTCGAAACATCATTAATATTTTCTAATCATCAATTTTTGTGCCATCCTAAGATAAATTCACTTAAAAGAAAATAGCAACACTTTAACACCACGAGAAAATTTTCGCTTAATTAACTCCGCGATTTAAACACAAAACATCTTTACCTATCGCTAAAAAAATCTTTGTAGTTTGATACAAGGCCACTGATACGGCGCACTCAGTGAGGATTGAACTCCTTCTCAATGAAATGCGAAGTGCTAAAAATGACGATGAAGCCGTAATTCAGTTTCCTTGCCCCTTTTCTACAATTACTTTCATGTTAATTGTTCGAATTAACTCTTCGCTATGGTACCTAAACTTTATTAATTTAAGCGCAGTACTAGATTGGCAGCTAGGTCTCATCAATTCACAGTTGAATTGGTTAGACGTAACCGTAAGTACGATGTCGTTTTTCTCACACTCTTGCTTGATTTCTCTTCTTTCTTATTCTCTCACACTCAGTAGCCCTTGTCTCTTAGTGGTTTACTGCTTTGCACGGGGTGAAATGATTAAATTTATTCTTTTAATGTCCTCTTTATCCTCAGTAACTTTTTTAGTTTCTTTCACACTTAGTAGCCCATTGAGTCTTAGTGATTTTATCGCAATACTTGAGGTAATATGAATAAAAGCATAGCATTAATATGCATTTTAGGGATACTGAAGGCGATTATTTCCCTTTGGTGGAGATAAGTTCCCTTTGTTCGCAGGCATCGATTTAAGAAAGCCGAATACCGCTGTTTTCCCTCGCCTGGAACATAATAGATGAATGCGACCGTTTGAATCTGGAGTCGTTAACATGTCTTCTCCGGAAACAGAAGTACCTCCATATTATATGTAAGCTCCATCCTTTTTGCTTCTCCTTACACTCTGCTCGCTGTGTATATATATATATATATATGTGTGTGTGTGTGTGATTTATTATTCTCCGTGTGAGGCACGTGTATATACGTATACATAGTTTTGTGTATGTCTTACTGGTATAAAAGTCTCTCTGAGAACAAAGCATGTTTATCATTCCTTTTCCTTTTAGCCATTCCGTTCCGTCCGAGAAAATACCGTGTTAATAAATCATGGATGAAATAATGCCCATAATGGGGGAAATACAAATGAGAGAATAAACATTTCTTCTAAGGCTCACATCCGTTATTGTATCGTCAAGAAAATATCTCTAGAAGACGAAATAGAAGTTTAATTAGTAATAAGTGCTTTCCTTTCTTGAGAATCAATTTTATTCACGAATTTATTACCCTAGCTTCTATGTGGCAATTAAATATACTTTACGCACTCATTATCATATTGCAATGTTCAAATTAAAAGCAGCGGGTTGTCAAGGATAATTTTCCACAATTGACCCAAAAAGCTGAACTCCATAAAAGAAAGGTAATGTTGTGTGTATAGAGGAATCGTGGGAATATTATTTATAGGGCTTCTATCGCTCGGTCTAATTTCATTCTCCTTTTTTTTTTGAACAGGAGTAGAGGTTTATCCCTTGTTTCCTGTTTAGGGTTATGCTTCCGGTTCCTTCTCTTTAAGTCTTCTTATTCTTTTACACTTCTGGCTTTGCGTCTTAGTGACATTATCGCCTTGCTTGGGCATGAATTGATAAAAAAATATACTAAATGCATATTTATATTTCTAAAAACTAACTACTAATCATTTGTGCCAGTTAATAATAAATCTGGAGTAGACTAACGTACCTTGGTTTTTGTACGACAATGGCAGCATGCAAGGTGCATTAAAGGTAACATATTGATCTTCTCCATGACAACGGAAGGCCGAATATAACAAAAATAAAACAGGAAAAAATCTTTGGACTTGGTAGGTCTGTTCTAACCCACCTACCATATTCACCTGACCTTGCACTAATCGATTTTTTTTTTCGATCGGTTCAAAAAGCTTTGATGGTGAAAAATTTCTCTAATGAAAACCAAATTCAAGATTTCATCGAAAACTCATTCACATTGAAACCTGTAGAATTTACCTCAAATGCACAGAACGTGTGATAGATAGATAGATAGATAGATACGAACAGACTTAGATAGATAGATAGATAGATAGATAGATAGATAGATAGATATAAGATGGTGATATATATTTTTACGTATCCCGAAACATATAAGGAAATATTTGTCATTTTTCCACTTTGTCATACGAAAATATATGACAAAGTGGAAAAATGTTCCTTGTAGCGTGTTTCGTCCTTTACGACCTTTTTTATGTTTGTTCGACTCCACATGCACACGAACCAATGATGATGCAAATTCCTTTTTTAATCTTGCTGATTTCAATTAGATTCTTTTTCGTTTTCTTTCTATCATTTTTGTAATTAGATATCTCATACTGTCATTGTAGAAGTTTTGAAAGGAATGGTGATTTGTTTTAAGAGTCAGGGAGCAAATTTACTGAACTAAATAAATACATATATATATATATATATATATATATATATATATATATATATATATATATATATATATAATTGAATAAAATATATATATATAATTGAATAAAAATGTATTGTATTTTATTTTTGGAAGAATGAAAATTATTTATGACCGAACATAATATTATTTGAATTTAGCCTGTTTCTGTTTTTTTTTTTTCGTCTTTTTTTTTGTGTGTATGTGTGTGTATGTGTGTGTATGTGTGTGTGTGTTTATTTCCCTCCCGAATTCTTTCGATAGGAAGCTGAATAAAAAGAGAAAATATTTATGAATTTGAAAATTACGATGATAGTAAAAGTTTCGATTTCGCTAAGTTCCTTATGGCGGTCGTAATTTTCTGGCTTTGAATTCTATTTAAAAACAGGCTGTCTGGAAAAGAACGACAGGAGAGGAATCAAATAGGTTCGGGGCGGGGGTGGAGAGAAAGGAAGAGGATCAAAAGAAGCATTTCTGACCTTACAGAACGGCAGCAGAAGTGCCTTTCTTATTGTAGACGCGTCAGACGCTGCTTTTGTACTGGGGTCATAGGTTCACTTCAAGTGACCAAATGAGTCGCTCATTGCAAGAGAACAAAGAGGCTGAATCAGGAGAGATACTCAATAAAAATGACTGGTCGAAATTAGTTCAATGGCAAAAGAAGGGCGGTCTTAAAAGAAAAATCAGCTGCAGGGGAAGACAGAAAAGGGAATGACAAACAATAACAAACGGCTGTGACTCTCCTGACTGTTAGAGTAGAGACAGGATTTGTTGTGTTTAAATCTATTATTGCTATACTATTCTATATTTCTTTGCGTCGACCACTTTCTTGATTTATTTTCTATCATTTACATTTGAACCTTTCTATCTCCCATCTACCTAGATAGATAGATAGATAGATAGATAGATAGATAGATATGAATAGACTAACATAGATAGATAGATACACAGAAAGATAGATAAAGATAGATAGATGATAGATAGACTTAATGCATATGAATAGATACATATCTAGATAACAGAAAGACAGAGATAGATGATATGATAGATAGATAGATAGATACATATCAGATAGATAGATAGATAGATAGATGGTGCTATATATTTTACATATCACTAACATAGATAATAGATACATGTTAGAAAGAAAACTGATATGACAAAGTGGAAAAACATTCTTTGACGAGATAGATTCGTCCTTTATAGATAGATTTTTTTGATAGATAGATATGAATAGACAACATAGATAGATAGACACAGAAACCAGAGGATGATGCGAATACCTTTTTTAATCTTGTCGATTTCAATTAGATTCTTTTTCTTTTTCTTTCTATCACTTTTGTAATTAGATATCTCATACTGTCATTGTAAAAGTTCTAGATAGATAGATAGATGGTGAATTGTTGTAATAGATAAGAAAGTCAGAGAAGACTTTACTCAGACTTAGATGCATTTGTGATCATATCACAGGCACTCTAGATAATAGATAGATTTTCGTCAGATAGAATTGTTTTCTCCTTTAATCAGAAAGACAGAATTTTCTTATATCAAAAATTATAGTCAGTCATATATGAAAAAAAGATTAAATTAAAATAGATAGATAGATAGATATGAATCGCTCAACGAATCGATAGTACACAAAAAACAATTTTGATCACTTTGATGCATTGAGAGATACATATCCCCCATTAGATAGATAGATAGATAGATAGATAGATAGATAGATAGATAGATAGAATAGATAGATATGAACATACTGAGAAGATAGATAAATAGATAGATCAGATAGATGCATTGAGAGATACATACAGACTGAGATAGATAGATAGATAGATAGATAGATAGATAGATAGATAGATGGATAGATATTTTTTATATCAGGAAACATGTTACTGCGATTTCGTCCTTTTAGATATTTTTTTTTTATAACTACATAGATAGATAACCATAGATGATGCGAATAGATTTTTAGATATCGATTTCACAGATTCTTTTTTCTTTTCTTTCTATCATTTTGTAATTAGATATCTCATACTGTCATTGTAAAAAAGTTCTGATGGTGAATTGTTGATAGATAGATAGATGACCTAGATCAGGCATTTTCGTCATAGACTGAGATTCTCCTTTAATCAGATAGATAGATCAAATAGATCAGATCACGTTATGAAAAAAAAAAAATTAATAAATTCCCAGCATCGATCGAACAATCGACTGAGAAAGAATTTTTCATAGATTTCCCCGTAGATAGATAGATAGATAGATAGATAGATAGATAGATAGATAGATATGAACAGACTGAGATAGATAGATAGATAGATAGATAGATAGATAGGATAGATGCGATAGATAGATAGATAGATAGATAATAGATAGATAGATAGATAGATAGATAGATAGAACAGACTGAGATAGATAGATGAATAGATAGATAGATAGATACATACTGAGATAGATAGATAGATAGATAGGAACAGACTGAGATAGATAGATAGATAGATAGATGATAGATAGATGGATGGATGGGGTTCTTACCTTCTTTCTTACCTGTTTCGTATCTTGCTTTTTATATTCTTTTTGTGCAGGCAAACTCTTTGATCTTCCCCGTTAGACGAATGCATTGTTCCGCTTCTTTGTTTTATTGTCCTTCTTATGGCTGGCGCGGCTGTTCTTCTTTTTATTACAAAGGATGTTCGAAAAATAAGGTTCAGCTAAATCTAAATCGACCGGAAATAAAGCTTTGTGAAAGCCTCAAACACAAAGCAACAGCCGGTTGTAATGCGGGTGTTAAACTGTAATAGCCGCCAGGACAGCCTTAATACTGAGTGAAAACATATATGACGTCACTACGAAGATAGCTGTCTAAATAAAATAGGTGACAAATATAGAATCGCGCCTTGTAATACATTTTTTGGCATGCCGGAGCAAAAATCTATCTTTCCGGCCTAAAGTAATTTCTTAAAACACAAAAATTACAGCACCTGACAGTTTGTTTTTAACATTTCGAATTGTAGGGAAGCGAGAAGAAAGGATTAAATATCAATTACAAGAAGAGTGAATACATGGAGGCTATCAAAATTAACAGACCAACATGGAAATTACAGATTGGAGATGCCAAACAATTGGAACATTTTAGATATCTGGGAAGCGTATTAACAGAGGATGAAAAGTCCGACGCTGAAATCCGAATGCTTATTGGGATAGTGAAAGATGCCTTCCAAAAGCTGCGAAGAAATAGAATCTTACATGTATTATGTGTCACAACATTACTCAAAAGCTGTAATTCTCGTGTACTTAATACTAATTAAATAATATACTAATTCTGTACTTAATACTAATTGAATTGGTCAAACAGCAAACTTAGATTATGCGAAAATCCAGTTAGAATGGTAGAAGCTGTTCGTGTAAAAAGAACTGAACTTTTAGGTAAACATGTCATTATGCTACACGACATCTACGCATATAAAACCATCGTAACAAAATAATGGCTCGGTGATATGGTTGAGCTGTTTTACAGCAACCATAGCATAGTTCTGAATTGTCTCCTTCAGATTATCATCTTTTTTTTTTTGGCGGGGGGGGGGGTCAAAATATGATTTATCCGGAAGTCATTTCCACACAAGTTCTCGATCAAGTGCATAATTCTCAATGGAAAATAGTCATATCGATGCTAGTTACATACGAACGTTGCTTTATTTCTAGAGTAATATATATGTTCGATTAATAATTGTTTACATTTTATTTTATGGACAACCCGCGTATTTTTCAACATCTTGTATTAATACTAAAAACAATAACTTTTTTCTAGAAGGCTTTTTGTATTATATTATTAATACAGTTAAAAGAATGTCAAGATGACACTTCATGAGTCCTGAAGAAGCCACAGATCAAATGCTGAATTATATGGTAAGTGTTGAAACTTGACTAATGCATGGAATAATAATGCAACACAAAATGTACTTAGAACAAAATGTATTGAAACAAGAAAGTGGACACAATATTTACATATAGTCTTTTGTATGTTCCTGTTAAGACCATTCCTGGAGAATGTGTTGACTGAGTCGCAGTCGGGCAGAGTCTCTGATTGAATCTCTTGATTCCTTACTCTCTTCCCAGTACTAACCATATTTATATGGTCGGTACTCCACTATGCAAATTAGGTGGATCCTACCACAACAGTAAGCTATCAATGGTCACAATGTTTTAATCTAGAAAGGGTTACTGAATGAGGAATAACCAAATCAGAGGTTGGAAATGAAATGGTAATCTTCATAACATCAACAAAATACAATACTCGCCAGCGGCGTGAAGTAGGTAAACCACTGCTAGTGATGGACTACTTGGCATGTTACCCCCACTTAAAATAATGTCCAACGTATTTATCAGGATTGGGACAATACGATTAGTGTTCATAGGTACGAAATATAACAGATAATAAAATCCCTTTACAATGCATTTTCATAATGTTGCAACTTAGAAAGGGTTACTGAATAAATAATAACCACAATGGATGTTGGAAATGAAATGGTAATCTTTATAACATCAACAAAATCTAATACTCGCCAGCGCCGTGAAATAGGTTAACCACTGCTAGTGGTGGACTACTTGGCATGTTACCCCTACTTAAAATAGTGTCCAATGTATTTATGAAGATTGGGTGGTGGACTACTTAGCATATTAACCCCCCACCCCACCTCTTACAATAGTGTTCAACGTATTTATGAGGATTGGGACATACCCATTAGTGCTCATAGGTACGGTATATAACACACATAAAAAAAGGATTCGTCTACAAGGAATGTTTATCACGCATGATGACGAAGTTGCTGGTAGCTTAGTAATCTGGCGACCTGATACGTGGCATGAATGCCATGAGGACAGATACGTGGCATGAATGCTCATTTGCACAGCAACCCTCTGACCACATGGTCATGATGATGATGATAATGATGGATCGCTGACTAAAATTAATATACTCTTCAATTATAATAAAAAACTCTTCTCTAAAAAGATCGCACCCAATATCTTTCCGAAATATCCAAAAAGAGCTGAATGATTGTAATATTTTCTTTGTATTTCAGATCCAGTTTCTTTTCCTGGGAAATTTTGGAACACATAAGCGGTAATTAGTCACAGTGCGTCTCCGCTGAGTATATTTCTTCACTACTTACCCCAGTGATTGAACCCAATGTGAATTAACCACTAGTAAACTCAATCAATGATACTTGATACCTTAAGCTAATGTGGCACCTTGCATTATTAGAAATATTCATAGAAATATGATTTAATTTTTTTTTTTTTACTCGGTTTATTAAACAGGTTGTCAGTTTTTTTTAGACGAAGAATAATTGAGTTGAAAATAATTCACTAAGTTGTACTTAGACGATCCTAAAAGAAAAAGAAAAGAAAGAGGAAGAAAAAAAAAAAAAAGAAAGAGAGATGGATGATGCATGACCCAGTCATTAGTGAAAACAGGTGTCAGAAAGATATCTTAATAACATGTTGGCCGAATTTTGAAAGACAATAGGGATTTGTTATTTAGAAGGGAAAGTCATTTAGAGAGTGGAAGGGACCATGCTTGATAAGAGTGTATTGATAATAAAAAAAATATCGGTCGAAGCACATGACCGACTTTTGCGTAGAAAGACTCATTATCAATTTGGAGAAAGGGAAATTTTTTTTAGAACAATGGAAACGAAATTTTAATCGGAGGAAAGGTGTCTTTTGGGTTGAGGGGGCGACCGGTGGAACTGTATACAGATTCTGACCTGTTAAGGATTGGAACCCCACGATGAAGGAAGTGGAGACATTTTCAATTCAGATAATTAAGATTTTTGACTATCAGGTCTGACCAAAAAACAAAGAGGTGAAAAAACGATTGTCTCGGCTCACAGATAGCGCCAATATTCTTTCCTGAAGTCACATCTAATTAGCGGCAGGCTGTTTTGACAGAACCCAGGTGAGAAAAAAGCCAAGATTATCATTTTCGTTCGTGCGAAAAAGGCCAAATTAGATTTTGTTTTTTTAGAACAAGAACGATGTAAGCCAGCCCGATTGGAGACGGGAGGCGTCCCACCACAGTCTCATTAGCCGAAAGCGGTCACGTGATATGCGGAAAGAGGAGGAGAATGCTCGATCAAGAACCATTGGTCGAAAACGGTCACGTGGCATGCGGAAAGAGGAGGAGGAATGTTCGATCAGGAACCATTGGTCGAAAACGGTCACCTGACATACGAGAGACCGGGAGAGATGGGTATGCGTCTTCCCCCCAGAGGCACTGTGAGGAAGTAGGGGGGAAATCAGAACTAATGCGACTTTTGGGATTATCGAGAGAGCCCTGACGCCGACAGACCCACCCCGGTTTGCTGCGGCGTCAATAAAAGCAGGACCCCAATCGACAAAAATGAGTTCAGCCCCGGACGGCAGCGAGAAGAGATCACCTCGGACGACAGAGAGTTGCGGCTGAGTTGCGGCAAGAAATCCTTCCACCCAAGTAGAAAACAAGAAATCCTTCCAGCCCAAGTCGAAAACAAGAAAATCCTTCCAGCCCAAGTCGAAGACAAGAGAAGTTCCATCTAAGTCGACGAAGAAGAAGATTACTCGAAAGCCGCGGAGAAGTTGCAGCCAAGTCGAAGACAAGGCCAAAGAGTTACTGGACGGAAGAAGAAGAAGAAGTTGAAAACAAGCCCAGCCGAGAACAGAATTCGACCCAACCAGATCGAAGAGAAGAAATACAACTCAAGTCGAAGAGAAGAATCAACTGCGAATGATTGACAGAAATTAGCCCCAGTGTCGAACTAGACCACACTCCGACATACATAATTCTGAAGAGTAGGCAATTCGAAATCTTTAAGTTGTATGATAGAAACTTGGTGCCATAGTCCACAGAGC